AATCAGTAGTTTATCCCCTAGGGCCTGTGACCTCTGTAGCTGTGGGTTTTGACTATGTTCACAGTCATGAATTCCCTTCTATGCCGCAGACCTTAAATCTTACCAAGAGAGTGTTTGGTTATCCCATAGTCTTGCCACTATTGCACCAACAGGCACATCTTGACTGGGAGATTAGCATTTTAGCATGTAGGGTCCAGCGCTGGATAAGACCCTTGATAATGCTTCTTCCCCAGCAGTTTGCATAGCACACTCTAGCACTATGAAAATTAACCAGCAGGGAGAGTTTCCTGTTCAGCTGAAGATTGATTTCTCTAAGGCTTGCAACCAAAGTGTGTGGTATCTTCAGCAGTAGAGTCTTACTGTCTAGTTATGGTAGACAACCACGAGCAATAGCAATCAATAGCAATAGCTTGTATTGTTTTGGGTGCCTCTGGGACCTCCCTGACCATAGGTAGGTATCCTTTGCCTGGCACTGAGCTTTTCATTAATAACCTATGTCTTCTGGGAGCAGCATTATTCATCTATGCAGGGTTCCTCTGTTCAAACTCATTTAAAAATATTTTAATTAGTTTTCAAAATAAGGTTTCATAAGGTTTCCTCATAATCCTTAGTTTTGGTAACTACCTCTCTTTCCCCTGCTTCCCCACTCTATCCCTGATCTAACTCCCAGTACTTCCCCTCTAGTTCCTCCATCTGCTATGTGTTCTACTATCTTATATTTTTACATGGGTAGCAAGGTCATAGGTTCCCATGTAGCTTCTTCATACACATTTTATTTTGGTTAACCCTTACCCTGCCCCTTCATTTCTCTGTTCTCATCACGCCACTCCCTGCTTGAACCTTCCTGCTCTTCTGTACTTTCATTTCACTTATATTCTGCCATCCTTCCTCCCTTAGTGTATCCTCTCTCAATGGCCTATTTCTAGTTTCCTGGCTTCTCCATGTACTCCATGCTAAGCACATGAAACATATGAGAAAGAACATGTTAGGTTTGTCTTTTGGAGACTTTGTGACCTCACTCAGCATAATGTTTCTGTAGTTAAGATATAAAGTCCATTGGGGTATGTACCCAGGAGTGATATAGCTAGATAATCTGGTAGTTCTAATTTCCTAACATTTGATTTTTACCTTTCTACTGCAGATCATGGTTCTTAGAGAGCAGTGAAGATAGGTCTAGCAAATACTGACCATAGGCTCTGTGAATGTTCAGGCTCTTGTGAACGGGGTTACTGTTAGGGGCTTTAAGGGTTCCAGTTGCTTGAACATTGTTTCTGCTATCCCAGGTCTGTGGACCACCATTTCATGGGTCAGTTTTTTCTTTGCCTTGAGGAAAGTTGGGCTAGGTTTCTGCTAGACTTGCAGGAGAGTTGTGAGGCTTTGATATGTAACCTCAGCCTTCCTTAGTATTGAGCTCTATGGATTCTTTTGGGAGTGGAGGGTAATGGTAAAAAACTTCAGTTAGAAACTTAGTCTTCAAGAGAGCTAAAAGCTCTACTTTTGTCTGTCTTCATCCTCATCTTTGTCCTCCTCTTCCCCCTCCCTCCCTCCCTCTGTCCCTCTCTCCCTCCAGCCCCTCTTCTCTCTTTTTTTTAAAACATTTTTTAAAAATTAATTATTTCATAACCATATGATTAGAAGAGGCATTTCATTACAGCAGCATTGACATATTCAATAACAATTTCCAGAGCTAAGATGCTTCTCTTTCAAAACTGGCTGTAAATTATTAGGTTTACAGTTAAATTAATACAGTTATACAATATTGTATTCAGTATAAACCCTATAAGACATAAAATTAAATGAGGTTTTAAACT